CGGTATAGCCTTAGAGGCGAGGAAGGGAAGGGCCCAATAAAAATGGGAGTCGGAGAATTCGGTACCACAGCGAACTTGAAAGGAGGGGTCAGAGAGGTAGGGTTGGAGTATTAGATATAAGGACTATGGTAAATAAAGTTCAAGCTTGAAGGGCAGTCCTGATTGCCATAGCCGGTCAAAAGCTTGTGCTTTGTCCAGAAATACACTCGAACAATATTGCTTCTTTTCTAGGGCTGAGGACATATGATCGACAGTGGAGTGTTGGGAACGAAATACGAATTGATGGCTAGGAATTTTACGGGATTCTATTATGGTAGGATTATTTTCAGTAGGATCTTTTCAAAAATTTTTGATAGGATTGGGAGTAGGCTAATGGGTCTATAGGATGATGTATTGTTGGCAGGTTTGTCTGGTTTGTCTGGAAAAGGATGATGGTGGAATGCTTTCAAAGGAGAGGAAAGTGCGTAGTTCTTAGGATGACATTAAAAATATATGTAAGAAATATGATAGCTTTAGGTGGAAGTTTCCAAAGGATCTGTAGGGTTAGGAGGTCGTATCTAGGAAATTTACGAGGAATGATATTGCTTAAAAGTATTTGACCTCAGATGGATTAACTGCTTTAGGTGGTAAGGAGAGCGGAATCGATGAAGAGTGAAATTCTTCTAATTTTGCGGTATGAGTTGGATGGAAGTGAATGTACTGGAGAGGTGTCTGACTCCTTCTAATTCCTCAGCTTTGTCTTTATCAGACACTTCCAAGGAGTCATCGCATCTCAAGGTGGTCAGAAATATAATAGACTTTTGGGATTTTTTTGGTGGTTTTTCAGAGGGAATTGTCGTGAACAGAGAGAGAAGCAAGGTAGGTATCAACGTATTGGGATCTAAAGAATTGTAATTCTTGCTTTAATAGTTTACAATAATAATTGTAGAAGCGGCGATCTATGGAGTGTTTGGTACGTTGCCATAATAATCTGGCACTGTGTTTGGTGTGGATTAGGTCTATGAGGTGTTGGAGTAAACTATTTTTCTTATGGGTTCATGAGGAATGATTTGTCCATACTTTCGACTGAATGGTGGAGGTGAAGAAATGTACGGGTTTGCCAAGGTCTTAAGATTAAAACGATTCTCCCCCTTTCTAACACATTCACACAAACACTTTCTCATCCTCGTAATAATCTCATGATAAGTCAGTTACCTGGCATAATCATAAGTAAGTTCCTACCGATTATATCAAGAAAATAATATTGTAAGATAAAGGATTTATTGACAACTACAATATTTTCGACATAAAGTTAATATTTATTGTTAAAGATTAAAAAACAATGTATATGTATATTAATGTACATGGTAATTATTTTTATTTATATATTCGACTACATGTAAGTGGGAATAACCTAATAAAATAAATGAGCCTTCCGTCTTCATATTCAATGTGGTCCAGCCTGCAACAAATATAGATTATATAATCTATTTAAGCGTGAGGTATATAATCCTAACATCTATTAAATAAAAAAATAAGATGAAATAATCATTGAAAATGGATAATTAAAACAAATGGGCCTCGTAGCTCTTATTGCCACTTCCTGGTGTTTAAATATATATTGCTGCCCTATTTTTACCGGGGTGGTAGTGTAAAAATTAATTTCTTAAGGTCGCCGAGAAATCAAAAATTAGCTAACCCAGTTGGGTATTGAATCCACGATTTGGAACAAAGAACTCTATGGCCGTCCCCATTTTCATCTATTACTAAATGTAATCCAGTTAATTATTTAAATATGCTATTGAGGCTGAAGTTATTATTTTCCGAATTAAATTAAATTCGTCAGAGCTGTTTTTGAGAAACTTATAAAAATGTAAACAATTTATAAAAAAAAGTAGGTGATTTTCATAAAAATGTTGCGGTAACATCACAGCAATGAATGTGCCAATGATTTGTTTTTACGTTAGAAGATGACACATTAGGAACGAGGGAGAATATAGGTAATAAACCAGCAGCACCTCTTCCCTGATCTATGTTTACTTTTTTAAATCAGAAAATCTTTCAACCAGCTCCTTTTCAGTCTCCTCCTGATGAGCATTTCATCCGTTGGTAGTCGTTTATAAGTCGTGTTATTATTCGTGTCCGCTTAGTTTAATATGAAATGTAATTGGTAATTACATTTACACCAGCAATGTTGTTAGTAACTGTGTAATTGGTATTTCGTTGAATGTAATAAACAAAAACAAATTAATGGTTGGGAATTATTTTTTTATGCGTAAGTATACCAACCAATCTTTTGTATATTAATTTTTCGATAACTTCGAAGCATATTGCACAGAGACTGATAGATCGGAACGAGGGATTGAAAATGTCTTTGTCAGCAGACATTAAATTATTCTATTAAGGTATCAATTATATTAAAGTTGTTTGATACACATTTTAATTTAACACACATACATATATATGACAAAAATTTACGTTATTCAGGTAATTTTTTAATAAAAAGATAACCTATAACAATTATTCAAGCAAAAAAATGTTTTAAGACCGCCTTACCTTCGCTTTTTTGCATTTTACAAACTCGTAAGCCGCTTCACATTTATCTGCTTTCGCTGAAATATTATTAATATATATTTCAAAATAATATTTCTGATATTTCAGAAAAAGTTGACTTCATATCATGAACATAAACGACATGTATATAAAACATACCTGTAACATCGCATTCATCAATCGCTGCCATCAACTTTGCTTTTAGCACTTCATCTTTCACTATTTCTTCAACAGCCTCTTTATCCTTTTCTTTATCGAAGGATCCATCTGCTTTCAACTAAATAATAGGTTATTATATATTTGTGGTTAAGTAACATTGATTTAATGTAATGTTGTGAGAAAATAATACTTACCACACCATTTTTCTCAAATGAACAGGCCAGTGTACACTGTAATATGGAAGAATTAATTATAATTTGAACTTAAAATTCTTTTATCAATAGAAATAAAATTATAAATTTTAAAATATTCCAATACACAGTTCAGTGTAATAATAATTAAACGAATTAGAGAAATAATTTTTAGAAGTTTTTGAGATATCTTGATAATATTCTGGGACAGTCTACTGACTTAACATATTACTAAATAGAAAATGTTGTAAATGCGGTTGGGACGTTTTTAAAATTTGCTATGGGAGACAAACAAAATTTCAACCAACCCCGTAATTTACAGACTAATTTAATTTAATTATCAATTTTTCGAATCTTTAATTAATTTTACCGGTCCTGATTTAGAATTCGTTCAGTAATTAATTTTGAAACAATATTAAAGAATAATAATGATCAAATATCCTTTCTATTTGTACAATGAATTTATAGAAGTTGTAGAGGAGCATACATTTTAATAACACAGTTGAAAAATTACGTATTTTGAGAGATTAATAACATAAAAATAAAGCCTGATATAAAAAAAAAATGGTCATCTCGCTATCCAAATCTTCATTCCACCATGCCTGTCTGTTTTGTTATTATTATTATGTTATAATTTTTCGATATCAGTATAAGCTTCGATTCAATCTAATCCTACACAAAATGACTCGTAGATGAACGTACTTGTAAAGAAGGAAATCGCATGTGAATATGCTTTTCAACATCCGGTTACTTTTAGTATTCCTTTGACAGTTTGACGGGTAAGAGATATAGTAGAAATACTTCAGAGCAGGATGGATATATTATCATCCAAAGTTCTCTTAATAGAAACAGTACTGGCAACTATGTACTATTGCTAGGATTGTTGATCTTTTTAATCTAATTTTTTGTGCATTAGGCGAATCATAGCACAATATTTAAGTAGCTTATGAATTTTATGAATCCTTATTTATTTAAAAAAATCTGACCTCTTATAATAACCTAAGGAAGATTCATCGTAAAATAAAGAAATCATGTTTGAAATGATTAGGAAAAATGAGAAATTATCACATATTCCTGTTCGAGAAATGTGAATATAGTAAACCAGGAATAATCCAAATCAAAGCCTCAAGACGAAAATAAATTTTAACGCAAATACCTTAGCTTCTTTTGGAAATTCAGGATCGTCGTAATCTGAAAAGTAAAATGAATATTAGACTAAAAAACTTGAATTAAATATTAATTTGAATTTATGAAAAAGTATAAAAAAAGAAATATGTCTTACTAATTTTATCTAAATCGCCATCAAAGTTATGCTCTTTCTTGCAAGCATCACTGATCTCCTTTAATGACATTGACAAAACCTGGAAGTAAAAATCAATACAACTTTATTATATTTAATCAATAAACGATTAATGTTTAAAAAAAAATCTCATTAATTCCACAAATTTGATTTCATTAATATAAAGTCTTGTAAATAAGAAACTTTATATCATCCCTATTATAACGTTTAATCATTTGATGCGATGTAAATGTCTACTTGTAAAACATTACTCGTTTATTAATTAAATATAATAATTATATTATTGCATAAAAGAAGTTTTTTATTTAGTCATTAAAATATATTAAATAATTTAAAACAAACGAATAATTACTTTACACATTAAATTATTCCAATTGTTGTATAATTAGGTATGTTTGTTTTGTTTCTTTGTTTCTTTATTTTTCTTTCATTTATAACCACTATCTCTCCAAAGTATCAGCATCCTGAAGTGCTTGAAATATCCAACATTCAGTTCCATAGACTTTTATCATTTATGGAACTAAAACCGGAACGCTACCAGTGTGGATATTAAAACGAGAGATCGACGATACAACAAATCTTCTGCTCGAGGACTATTCTGGAACAAGGTCACAGGTACGATATCGAAACACTTCACCTCTATTTTGAGTTTATTATGTTGAGTAGATGAACCATGAAGGAGATTTGTGTTATGAAACAAGGGGGCACAGATCGGAAGAATTTACATCAAAGAGAGGACTCATGCTTTCTATCTTCTTGCTCTGGAAAAGGCAGTCTGTGACATTCACATTAAAAGCTCTGACACAATAAGTAAGATGATGGTGCAGCTTCTAGCTTTATCAGACAATGCCTTGTGGAACTGGGAGGCTGCAACGAAGATAAGTGTGATTGTTAATAAAACCTATATTAAATAATAAATATGGTAACCAATTGGATTATATAGCAGGATATTGTCAGGGAATTTCCATTCAGAATTTAGAAATAAGAAAGTGGATTCTGGTTGACACCGGCAATCATGAATTTTGGATTAAGTCAGCACTTGAAACTACTTATTGAAACCATGCTCTTCTGACTGGTTTTAACTTACTGATATGATACCTGTGCAACTTAGACCTTGGCGCAGAGCCTCAAGGAAACGCATGGCAGTAAAAATAAAGTATGGATCAGTGTTATTGGCAACGCAGATAAAAACAGTGACGGTGTGATCCAGAAAAAGCTCTCGACTTTGCATGGACCTAACCTCAGAACACAACGATGTTTTTAAATTCAAAGCTGAAGTGATGAATTGAATGGTGAGAGCGTAAAGAGGAATACTCGACTAAGGTATAACTAATAAGCAGGTTGTAGTGTCATATTAGATAGAGATATATACTTTTTTATTACAAATATAGCTATAATCTTAAGTGCCAGTTTAATATTTAAATATTATAATCGTAAACCAACAACTTCCTGTCCTACAGTTTACTTTAACAATACTCCACTTATCCCTGTTGAGCGAATCCGATACCTAGGATTCCACCTGGACAAACGACTAACTTGGAATCCTCATACTAGACTGAAACGACACGAAACCGCTCGACGTTTCCGATTACTTCAGCACTTACTAGACAAACGTTCTAATCTTCCAATTAATTACAAAAGACTCATATACTTGACTATAATAAGGCCTATTTGGACTTACGGAGTTGAGATATAGGGCTCCACTAAACCATCGAATTCCTGTCGTATCCAATCCTTACAATACAAAATCCTTCGTAAAATCCTCAATGCTCCCTACTTTGTTACAAACAAAACCATCCAAAATGACCTTAATGTTCCTTTTGTTTCAGATCTGGCCCAATCCAGATACCTATCCTTCCATAATATACTTCAGAATCATCCCAACCCTCTCGTTTCTAACCTTGCTTCCTCTTCAATTACTCATAACCCTCCGAGGCGTCTGAAAAGAAGATGGCCCCGTGATCTTCTAATGTAAACATATCATTAGAGTGCTACCATTGGGTAGTTACTCAGCAAGTGTTTTTCATGTCATTATATACATTATGTTCTAATTTACTAGATATATTTATTTAATACAGTTGTAAATGTCTTTAAGAAATAAAATATATATATATATATATATATATATATATATATATATATATATATATATATTATATATATATATATATATATATATATATATATATATATATATTAAAAACTTACAGAATGTGCTGTGCAAACTACAGCAAGGAAAATTAAGTATGAACACTGCATGTTTGCAAGAACCTGTGTTGTCGATATGTCTTAATGCCAGTAAAGAATGAATAATGACTGAACAAGCTTTGCATCCAACTATATATACGTATATTTGCCACAATAGTGAGGATGTGAATTGTTCATCCATTGTCAGAGCATAAAACAGTACCTCATTATTATAAAACATAGTCAAAATACAAAAAGCTTAATAGCTTATTCCTTACTAGTGGATCCGGAAATTGCATAATATTTTCGTTATAGATTTAGCTATACAAAAAAAAAAAGATATATAATTTTTTTTAAAAAATTACAGAAGCTAGCCGTGGCTGATTTGTAATAATGAAAATCTGTACCTGATTTTCCTTGTGACCGACTAAGCATTTTCACATAAAAACCAGTTTTGGGAAAAAAAATAGGGATAGAAACATATGATCTATGCAGATTGATGCAGAGGTTTAGGTTTTTAAGAAACGTGGAAAATATGTTAATGACAGTTAGTGAGGCACAGAACAGCTGTACCCTCAAAGATCTAATTTAGTTTATTGGAACTATGGAGAGCTGTCCGATAAAGTAAGAAAAGCTAGAAACCACTCTGTATTAGGTTCGTCATCTAATTTTTCTCACTTTGACTAGTTGGCTATCGTCTAACTCTTTGTACCTTAAACAGAATCTAAACATGTTGTATGTATGACGTTTTGGCTCATTTCTGGTATAACGCCTACAACCTGCGTTAAAAAAAAAGTGTAGTTTTCTGTGAGGAATACTTAGAAAGCGATTTCAAGACTTGAAGTGGCCAAAGTCTTTGCCTAAAAGTTTCCAGCCTATTAGGATCATCTTCAGACTTTCAGGCGAAAATAATGAATTTATCCACTCATTAATAAATCTTGTAAATCTTATTGGATCTGGCGCCTCAGAATACTGCACTTCTACAATAATAAGGATTATTTATTGTACCTAGGGTCAGTACGCCTACTTTTTGTCTCTATGTACATGTAGACTATTTTTAAACACTACTTAGGAAAACCAGTATACCAGTGAACTCTTTATGAGAACATAATTATGGTCTGCTAGATCAATCCAAGTTGTAGGTAACAAAAAAAATATAAAATCAATCAAATTGTCATTTTGAACTTTTTACAGAAATCTGGTTGTAGCCTTGAGGTCTACTTCAAAGTACTCTTCAAGTGAAATTCAAAATTTAGGTACCATTTTCCTTTTTATGTATGTTTACTTCCAAAGCACTCCCAAGGAAATCCCAGTCCACGCACTCTACAAGTGCCTTTATACCATTAATTGATTGGACTAAATCTTCAGACGAACAATATTTCTTCTTTTCGTTTATATAAATATTCGTTTCTTAAATTATTACATTGTTTTCAAGATATTTTAGTCTATTGTCTCACTTTTCATCATCTTTTTTTTTTTTTTTTTTATTAAATTCTTAATGTATTTCTTAAACAATGTATGTGAAGTAACAGTTAATTAGTGGGTAGTAAATAAAAAACGCTGCAAATTATTTCACAATGGTTCATTATTTCCAACAATTATACATCTAAAATAACATTTCTTTCCTAGTTACAAACAAAAATAAATAAAAGGAGATTCCAATTATTGGACTAAACATTTTTTTTTTCATTTGTAATATGCTAAAAAATATATCATTACTTCAGTAACACATTAAAAATTTAAAAACCAAACAAAGGATATAACATTTGGAGTAGAATATATAAAAAAAACTAAAGATTGTATCTTTGCTCCAAATTGTCCGATTTTAACTTCGTTTTTTTTGTTTTTTAGGAAATTCCGTAAACTTTTAAAATAACATCCCCAAAAAAGTGTATACTTTTTGAGTCATTCGGAATTAAATTTTTCAATCCCTCGTAAATTTTTTCCAGCTTCTTTTCGTTGAAGTATGTTATATAGATAAATTTAAAGGGCGTCAAGAAAATGACTTTAGCGAAGTTTCATCGAAATCGGTGCATTCGTTTAGGAGCTACAGTCTTTAGCAACTCAGGTTTTTCGGCCGCCATTTTGAAAGTAAAAGACGGATAGTCGATGAAGGAGGATCATCCTCGTGTGACCTCTGATTTTATATCCAAATTAGAAAAAAATCGGTCCAGTAGTTTCGGAGAAAATGCGCGGACGGCGGACGGCGGACGGACAGAAAAATTTTTATTCGTTTTTGGAATTCTACGCATCCTGAAACGTGAAATCTCGACTTTTGAGGGAGGGATACATTTTTGAATTTTTTGGTCGATCACAATAATAAACCAAAATATATTAAACTTGAAATGAGAAACAATGTATTTTCCAAATTTAAAGTACAAGAAAATATGTCGAAATCTCTTTAACATTACATCATATGCTCGAACAATGGATAGGCTATGCTTAAACGAATTACTTCCGCATCACAGAAGTTTAAATATAAATAGGTTCAACTCTATGTAGTTTGTAGTCATCCACTGTTTGAGTCAAAACACATCCACAATTTCAGTTCTCAACAATGTTCCCTTTAAAATTCGTATTGGCATCCGTTCTTCTGGCTACACATTGTGTAAGTATTAAATTCGATGAGCTCAACTTCAATCATTCAATATTTTATAAATTTGCATCATAATTTTTTCAATTAAAATTCACTTATGTTATAAAAAAAATCTGGTGTGTCCACTCACACGACTTTCCTACCTATTTTAGAAAAGTTTTTATATCTTTACATATGTTCATGAAGAAACAAAAAAGAATTGAACTACATTTATTTTCCTGAAAAATAGTCAAATAAAAGATTTGGGTACAACTTATTAGATAAACTAAGGCAATTAAAGGCTTAAGGTAGATCAGTGTAAAAATTTCAATACTTACTAATATTGCGGATCAAAAACTTTTTGGTATATCATAGTATTGTCAAACAATAATTTATGTTAAAAGTAGAGGAAATAGTGTAGATTGTGTGATGCGGGATACAGTAAACTCGTAATCATTCATTGGAAATTGAATAGCTGTAACTTCGTTAATAGTTGTCCAAAATGAACGATTTTTATATGGCTTTGTAGAGAATTTCATTACCTTTAACGGCGCGTTTTGTTTTGTTGGTTATTTAATTACCTTTCAAAAGTTTCATTACAAATTTTACCGTATAATATATACTAAGGGAGTTAGGGCCCATAAAATTTGTCTTTTCTTTATACATTTTTTTTCTGATTTTTTTCTTTAATTCAGTCCATATACGAAAAATGAAAGGACATTTAATGATTAGAACATTATAGGAAAGTTTAATCAAAATCGTTATAGCCGTTTTTTCTCAACACTCTATAGAAAAACGTGTTTTTCATTTATTACGCGCTAGCTATTGCGAATGGAGTACCGAAGTTCTGTCACAGGCATCGGTAGTCAAAACCCTACAAAATAAAAAAAGAAGCAACGAAATCGGTTCAGTAGTTCCCGAGAAAATCTTGGCACAGACAGACAGACCAATGGCTAAAAATATGTTTTTCGGACTCAGGCGGCTGTGAAACGTATAGATCCGTCTAAAACCGCAAGTCTGAAATTTGACCAGATTGCAATACTTTCCTTACCTAGTATAGGTAGGAAAGTAAAAAAGTATTGATTCTAAATTATTATTGCTTAAAATATAAGAACTTTAACGACAATGTTCTTCAACAAATTACTGATCAAGCATTTAATTGATTGATTGAACATAAAATAATAAGTAATTTAATAAAAAAGTATATTTAGAATCAAGTTAACATATATTTATTTTAATTTGTAAATTAAATATTTATAGGTCTTTTCGGATAAATATGAGGAGGCTAGGGTGGCATGCGAAAAAGAACATAAATTCAACGATATTAAAAATATGGGTGAGCTATTTGTTCCTTGTATTTTAAAAATTAAAATTTCTAGTTAAATTTATTTACATTTTTTTTTTGTTTCAGTATCAACTGGTAACGTACCAATGGAGGCGAAGGTAATTGTAATAATATCTTATTTAATAGGAACTTAATGAAATGAAATGAATAATTTCTTTATTAATCCTGGGACACATTAAACTACATAGTGGCCAGGACAGTGTAGTTTGACTCATTGTCACACATAAAATTTTAAAGAATGAAAGAAAAATAGCATAAATTAAAATAAATTTTTACATTACCTAAAATAACAAAACTGCTTTAACAGTAGTTAACCAGAATAAAATTAAGTAATCTAAATGAATATGATAATAGTAATAAGTAAGTGGAAACATAGTACCAAAATGAGGAAATAGGGAGAGGGAAATGTGGTTAAATAGAAGAGCTTTATACGAGGAAAGTTTTGAAGCATGGCGGATGATAGATGAGATATAGTTCCAGAAAGAGGTTAAGCTTGGTTGATGAACGATTTGTTAAACGCAAGAGTTCGGTGAGGAGAAGGGTAGAAGTCAGAATAGCCAGAACGGGTGGGACAGGCTTTTATGAATGATTTGAATTGCAGGCTCTGTAGTATGTAGGATGGGCTCCGAGTTCAGATTACCCGATATAGGAAGGATACTAGGAAATACTGACTCCTATGGGATGGTTAGAGCCACTTTAGCTTGACATAATACTGGGTTATTCGCGTATCTCTGAAAACAACAATCTAACTTAGCAGTTCACGACCCGTTTAAGGCTTGCCTCATTATCGCCAGAGAGTCCACCGAACACCAGACAGTCGTAACAAAGTTGGGTAACACTAGCGATGAAACCAGGAGTTGTTTGATTTTACGTGGGAGATTGATACAGTTCGGCGAGAAATCTGAGAGATATGTTGTTTTCAAGAGAGGGTTTCGGGTGACTCCATGTCCACGGAATCGAAGGCTTTGGAGAAGTCTACAACTCTGGATATAATTGCACAATTTTAAAAGACATTACTTTTTTTTAATAATTTTTAAATTACCCTCAAGATATAACAAAACTGAATCTGTGATTCTTCCAGAGAAAACAATCAATTACTTTGAGAGTTTTTAATAAATAAATATTTTTTTTATTTAGAAATAAAAGCCTTCATTTGGTTTATTCTACTTGTATTCCTGTTTTCCCATTTCCATTTTTTCTTCCTTTAACCCAATCTTTAAATGAAATTGAATTGAACTTAAATTATCTAAATTTATATATTTTTTTAAATACTTTTATTTTTGTATTTAATTAATTTGTTTTTGTTTAAGTGCACTTTGGCCTGCATATTGGAAAAAATGCATGTGGTAAGAATCAATTCATTATTCAATTAGGGATAAGGCAATAGTACTTAACTTAAAATAAAATTTCATTTTTATAATTAAGTTATAAAAACAAAACTTTTGTAATTAAATTTTATGAACATGTGATATTTTATTATCAAATCCTAAGTTTAAAGAAGATGGCTCCATTGACATAGCAAAGGAAAAAGAGGTAATTGAGGAAGCAGTAAAAGATGAAAAGCTTAAGAAAAAATTTCTGAAGGTAGTCGACGAATGTGATACATCAGGTACTAATTTTGTGATAGACATATACTAAAAACTAAATCATTAGGTTTTCTCATTATTTCAAAATGTTTTTAGCAAAAGGAACAAAATGTGATACGGCTTTTGAATTTGAAATTTGCAAGACATCCAAGGTAAATTAAACATTACAATTAATAGTGTAGTTGTATAAATTAATAATATGATTCACACCAACTAATATAATAACTTAGATGTTTATGCTTATTATTATATGAACATTATTTTTAGAATCACTGATAGCTAAAGGCTTAATTTTTTTTTTTTTTGTCGTAAGTGTCATGGCCGAAACTGAGGTTCTATATTCGTATCGTTCCGTCTTTGCTAGTTTGTTATGTGCTTATTATCTCAAATCCTGTTCTCAGACTTTGTAAACAGTGAGTTTATAAACAATTTAACATTTTTACATTACAATCAGTGAGGTGAGTGACTTTTATTAACAATTAGCAACATTAAATTGGTACTCGATTACTAGAGACAGTTTACGTGGCAGATAATTCCCCTCAGCGGGTCTTATCTTTCAAATTCAAGGTCACGGCGCTTTATTTTACGTTCAGAATATCTTGAGTTCGTACCTAAGACAGTATATATTTTTTTTTTTCTCTGTTTTTATTTCTTAATTGATTATTTTATTTTAATATTTTTTTTTCTACTGAGACTCTATTTTATTTATTTATAAAAATGTTTTTTTTAATATTTGTATATATATTTGTAAATAGATTAGTTATTAAGTATTTGTTTTGTAAATTTTCTTATTAGTGATACTTTTTTCTTTTTCTCTCTTCTTTTTGTATATATTATTATTTAGAGGTATGGATTCTGATAAGAACATTTCTTTTGACGAATCAGATGAAGAGACTCCTTTCTCCGAAATCAGTGAGACTGATTCTCAATATTTAACAAGGCGAACTCTCCAAAAGCGCCATAGAAACTCTGCCCCCGGTTCGGCGGGCAACTCACCTAATAAAAAAAAAAACAAATCCGCTAAAACAAAGCAAGCTCTCAAAGTAAATAAACAATCAAAAACTAGTAATAATTCAGCTATGAAACCTGACACTAAACCATCAACTAACACATCCAGTAACAATTCTGTTACAGCCAATAATAAAATTAACGAAATCACTGAACCTAGAACTTTCACTGAACCAGTGCCACCTCCGATTTATGTAAGCAAGATTGACAATTTCATTCAGTTCGGTCAAGAAATAGCTAATCTGATCGGACCGACCAACTTCCGGTGTTTTTCTCGAGTCAACGATATAAAGATTAACACCAATACTAAAGATGATTATAAAAAACTTATAAATCATTTGACAGCACTCAATCACGACTTCCACTGCTATCAACTAAAAGAAGACAAAACATATAGAGTGGTTTTGAGAGGTCTTCACTCTACCACACCCACTACCGCTATAAAAAAAGATCTGGAAGATATCGGCCATTCGGTAAGACATATATCTTCTATTTTACATCCTATTGATAAATATCCACTGCCATTATTTTTCATCGATCTAGAACCAGCCCGGAATAATGCAGAAATCTTCGAAGTTAAAAGACTGCTGTATTCTGTTGTAAAATTTGAAGAGCCGGGCAGAAACCAATAGTCGTTCAATGCACCAAGTGCCAAAACTTAGGGCATACAAAGGCTTACTGCCATCACTCGGTGCGTTGCGTTAAATGCGCCGGGCCTCACGCCTCTAACACCTGCCAGAAACCGTTAAATGAACCACCAAAATGTGCCCTTTGTGGTGAGGACCACCCTGCAACCTATCGGGGCTGCATTATCTATAAGAAGCTATATAAGCAAAGAACTTATAATTTATCATTAAAAGAAGAACAGAAGAATTCTACCCAGGCACAGGTACAGGCACCTGAACTCCTAAATTTGGCAGCGTTTCCTCAACTGCCGAACAAAATAATACCACAATTGACGCACAACCCTTCTACATCAACAGATCATCCCCATCAAGACTCTAGGCACCTATATTCAGACACTACGGTGAAGAATCAACAGCCGCGACGTCAGACGCCTCAGATTTCCAAAACTAAGACTCAGGCTTCCAAACCTAAGATCCAGACCTCCCAATCCAAGACTCAAATCTCCCACATTCATTCAAAATCTCCACGTCAGCAAATGCCTCCTCACCAGATACCTATACGTGTAAAATTACCGCCCGAACATCCAACTCCTGTTTATTCCCACCCTACTGCTCATATTTACTCTCCTTCCCAAGTTCCAAGGGTACATCCTTCATCAGACACTCCTTATCATAAGATCTTTCCCTCACGAACTCCTAATCAAAACCAACCTGACCAACAAAACCCGATCGATTTAATAAACTCCACCCTTGCGTCCTTCCTGAAAGATCTCCAAGAGACTATCAAGCCACTAATTACCCTCCTCACAAGAATCCTTACCGAAATTCCCTTCAATCTCTCACGATGAGCACTAAGCCCCTAGCTGTTCTTTTATGGAATGCTAACGGACTACAAAACCACCGAGACGAACTCGACATTTTTCTTCATGACTATCACATTGATATTGCTCTACTCACAGAAACTCACTTCACTCGACGTTCATATTTCTACATACGTGACTATATCACTTATAGATCAGACCACCCCGACAACACTTCCCATGCCGGTTCTTGCATCCTTATCCATAAATCCTTATCCCATTCTCTCATTCCTTCTGCTCCAACGGAGGCTATTCAAGCAACCTCGGTTATCATTTCAACTCGTCCTTTCCATTTAACATTCTCAGCTGTATACTGTCCTCCCGGTCATACTCTTACCTATAACTTACTTGAATCCTTATTTCAATCCTTCGGATCGCGCTTTATTGCTGGAGGAGACTACAATGCTAAACACCAACGATGGGGTTGTCGATCATCCAACTCCCGTGGTAACATACTATCTTCTGTCTCAACTTCCAATAGTTACTCTGTCCTCTCTCCTATGAATCCTACCTATTGGCCAACATCCCTCAAAAAACGCCCTGATATCCTCGACATATTTGTCACCTCCCAAATTTCCTCTTCCCATGTCACAATAAAATCCCTGGATGACCTCTCCTCAGATCATTCTCCAGTTCTGCTTTCATTACACACAACCTTCGCTCCTAAGCCCTCGTCCTCTCCTACACTGATTACAGGACGAGTAAATTGGGACAATTTTCGTAAAGACCTGGAAAATAAATTGGACCTAAATATTCCACTTAAGACGAAACGTGATATTGACACAGCCATAAAAGAACTTACTACATCTATAAGTGACAAAATAAAGAATAATACATCTACCAATAAAACTGACAACTCCCAACAGACAAATTTGCCGCAGCATATTCGTATCTTATTAAGGGAAAAACGCAGAGCAAGATCGAAGTGGCACAGGACTAGATATCCATCAGATAAGACATATTACAACAAATTAACTAACCAACTAAAAGCTGAAATTAGAAAATACAAAGTTCAAAATTTACATAACATGACAGAAAAACTTACTACTTGTGACAAATCACTATGGTTGACCACTAAAAAACTCCTTAAATTCAAAGATTTTAACCACCCACTTATTACTGAAACCCAAACCTGGTCCAGATCTGATGATGAAAAATCTCAAATATTTGCTCAACACCTCTCAAAAACATTTAATCCACACCCAGACATCCTTAATCCAACCCACCTTGAGTTTATTGAAGCAGAATTGGATACCCCACTCCAATTGACTCCTCCACCTAAAGCATTTCATCCTTCAGAAATATCCAATATCATTAATAGATTACCTTCTCGCAAAGCTCCTGGCCATGACCTAATCACCTCCCAGATCCTAAAATGTCTTCCTAAAAAAGCCATATTGTTCCTAACCTATATATTTAATGCTGTACTCCGCACCACATATTTTCCTGACTCTTGGAAACTATCCATTGTCAAAATGATACCTAAACCCACAAAGCCGCCAGAACACCCATCCTCTTACCGTCCTATCTCCCTTTTACCCATTATGGGCAAAATCCTGGAAAAACTCATTTTAAAACGCCTGTATCCCATCCTAGACTCTAAACACATTATCCCAGATCACCAATTTGGATTCCGCACATCCCACTCCACTATTCAGCAATGCCATCGTGTGGTAGATGTAGTCTCCTCTGCATTGGAGCGCGGAATGTACTGCACGGGAGTCTTTCTCGACGTTGAACAGGCGTTTGATAGAGTCTGGCATCCGGGACTGATGTACAAACTCCGTGAATTCCTACCACCTACATACTTCCTCATTATACGTTCCTACCTTACTGACAGATACTTCAAAGTCAATCATAACAATGCTTATTCATCTCTTTTTACTCAGTCTGCCGGTGTTCCTCAAGGTAGTATCCTAGGTCCTATCCTTTACACAGTTTATACAGCTGACATCCCAACCCAATCCAACACTGTCATCACCACCTATGCCGATGACACGTGTATCCTATCAGTTAATAACGATCCTTTAATTGCATCCCAAACTCTTCAATCACATATCACAAGCCTTGAAGAATGGTGTAAAAATTGGAGAATAAAAATAAATTCCAACAAATCCCATCAAATCACTTTTACCCTCCGTCGTAAACCTATGACCTCTTGTCCTACAGTATCCTTCAATAATACTCCACTTATTCCTGTTGAGCAAATCCGCTACTTAGGACTCCACCTTGACAAACGACTCACTTGGAACCCCCATACCAGACTGAAACGACTAGAAACCGCCCGACGTTTTCGACTACTGCAGCACTTACTAGACAAACGATCTAAGCTTTCAATCAATTATAAACGACTCGTATATATGACAATAATAAGACCTATTTGGACTTACGGAATTGAGCTTTGGGGCTCCACTAAACCATCGAATTCCTCTCGTATCCAATCCTTACAATCCAAAATCCTTCGTAAAATCCTCAACGCTCCTTACTTTGTCACAAATAAAATCATCCATAAAGACCTTAATGTTCCATATGTTTCCGATCTGGCCCAATCCAGATACCTTTCCTTCCATAACAAACTGCAGAATCATCCGAATCCTCTCGTTTCAAACCTTGCTTCCTCCTCGATCCCTGATAACCCTCCGAGGCGTCTGAAAAGAAGATGGCCTCGGGAATATAGAACTTTAATTTGAGTTCTACCAATGGGTAGTTTCTCTTCATGTTGTACATGCCATGTTACAAATTTCTCATTTACTTATTGTATTCTCTATGTAATACAGTTGTAAATTTCATTGAAATAATAAAAAAAAAAAAATAAAAAAAAAAAAATAAATAAAATTTTTTTTTTGTGATGGATTTATCAACAGTTTTTAACTATGAATAAAATTTATCAATGTTATAGATGATAATGATTGCCACTAAAACCAAAGTATTTTTTGCAGGCTGCTGCTATTATGAAAAAAGAATAAAAAAATGACGCTAACTCAATATAAAAATATTTTTACCCTTATTATTAAATAATTTGTATCTCTAAAAATAAGTTGTGATTTACAGTAGTATATATATATATATAAATATAATAGAAAATCATGTTTATTCTGGAGCGAGTTCCCTTAAGAATAACTATATTTTTCATACCAATTAACAATAAATCTGGCCAGATGACATATTACAATAAAGAATACATAAAATCTAAGCAATAAAATAAGCATTTACATAGCTTTCAGGAGATATTAAGGCAAGCAGATGGGTACTAGGGATACCATATCACAATATATTAAAAACCACAACAAAAACTAACTAAAATTAAAAAGAAACGCTAAATAAGTTTTATAGGCAAACCATTTTAGTGATAAAATATAAACATAAAACACAAAATAGAGTAAATAAATGATTTACATCTGTTCCTTAAGAAGTTTAAGTGAAAAAAATATAAAGGTATTTTAAAAGTATTGTGTATTAAAAGTATTTAGACAAGTATTGTGATCTACCTATGAAGCGATAGATTACGAGGAGGAAAAAAAATGTATATATATATATATATATATATATATATATATATATATATATATATATACACACACATAGAGAGGAATGTGTGGAAGTTAAGCAAAAATAAAATACTTTTAAATAAAATATATTTCAAATAAATAAAAGCTTATAAATAGGAAGAAGTTAAGTGTTAAGCCATGTTAAGTGTTAAGAAAAACATTAAAAAAATTATAGCTACTCACAATGCTTTATGAAAGGTGATCGAAATTCTGTTTCATACTCAAATCAGAAGAAAAAAAAAATGTATAAAGAAAATTAAAATCTTGTTACATAGTATATAATAAGCCAGCGTCAGATTGAATTGTTAACAGTAATTGGAATAAGAGGGTTTTAAATCTGGATAAGGATGGTACATGGAGGACTTTTAGTGGGATGAAATTCCAGACTACAGTGGTACGTACAACAAAGGTATGTTTAAATGAGGCAGATCTGTGGCAAAGGGTGTAAAGGTCAGAGGGACGTGATCTTGTGGAGAGGGTGTGGATTGATGACTTGAATTGTATGCGTAAGACGGACGATGATTATTGGTTATTTGGTAAAGGAATGTGCCCAGGAAATATCGCCTTCGGAAGGAGGGGAAGAACCACCCTAAGTCAGCAAAGCTGTGAGAAACATTACATATTATATAATTATACATCTCGAAGTCCCAGTCACAAATATTACATTTGTCTATTTATACATAATATCCCTCACTGTTTCTTTGTATTATTGTATTTGTAGCTCCATTTGTATATCATTTTTTATCATTCCACCATGAGAATTTAAATATTTTTATTCGGATGTATAAAAATGTATATATATATATAATCTTCCTCACTACTATAATATTAACAAGGCTCTCAATAACAATGAAATTGACAACATGTGGGCTGACACACATAATATGGTTATTTAATATTATATAAGAATAAATTTTTATAATAATATCGTGGTATAATAGTTAAAAATTAACATGAGAAGACGCATCTATTTTACATAAGAAATTTAATGGAAAAGTACATGATAGTTAATTATAAAAATTTAATATTTTGAAATAGGTGAGCTTTTTCGAAGGTATCAAAGATTAGATATAATAATAATTGATATAATTATCAAAATAATATAAGATATGATTGTAAATCGAAAAATTGTTTTAGAATTGAAAATGGCTCGACGAGCCGAAACGTCGTAGTAGGATTTTGAAGCGAAAACATCCATGTAATGTTGGCTTAAATATAAAAAAAAAAAAAAATAATACACCTAAGTAGAAGAAAAGAATATTGGAAATAAATAAATTGATATATAAGTGGTCCTTGAAAGACTAGTAAAAAAAAAAAAATGTTATTACAAAAATGATAATATTTTATAGCGAAAATCGTTGGATAATTCATTCTTGGCAGGTGCTTACGTTTATTAAGAGTATATGATTTATAATTTAAAAAGAACTCATATTGGGTAGTGACCATCGAAAATTGCTCCATGGGAACATTACGTACGTTATAAATACAAACGAAGTCTGCAAGTGGTGCGGCCAACTTATCAATAACGGTCTAAAGCACTTGATACTGGAGTGTTAGTTAGATTTAAAAAATCTTGTTGAATAAAATATTTTATTTTATTATAAGTGTTTGTGATTCTATCAATACTAGTACAAACTCTCATCTTTAGGTCAGGCATGTGTTCATGTGTCCGTGGTCGTACGTGTATTTATTCATAATTTGGGTGCCTTTTAAAAATTATTATTATTTGTATCAACATGTTTAATCCTAAGATCTCTGCTTAGTTGTGTTCTGCTTAGTAAACCTTCTTTGGTATACATGTATTTTTATTCATTATGATATCTCATTTATGATATATATTATATAAAAATATTTATATATCAATAGTAAAAATATTTGGAATATATAAAATGTGGGAATATTTGAAATATGAAAATATTTGAAATCATAAAAGTATTTATGATGTTTGTCATATAAAAATATTTTTGTTTTTTGTCTCATTGTACTATACTTATTTACTTATTTTCTTCTAGTTATAAAACTAATCCCTACTAACACTAAATGGGCCAGACTCCATTTCTACGATGTATATTAAGCCAATAAAATGTTTCTGTTCTATACATATTGATACTGTTTAAGTATTGATATCAGATCATTCAATAGAAACCATTATGGGCCAATAAAAAAAATCTATTTTTAAGGGGAGGGGGGAGGATTTTAGCCTGAAAGCTCGTCCCTCTCTAGATCCACCAGAGACACCATGATTTAATTGTGAACATTTTTATTCAGGACTTATTGCATTCCCTACCTACGCCCTAAAAA